GGTTTGGAGGTAGAGGGCATTTATTTGCTCTGCTTTGCTAAACCTCAAAATCAAAGCATGTCCCTAGCCTGCCAGCCCAGACTAGCAGAGCAGAGCAGAAAGCGTCAGAGCCCAGACGTGGTGACAACCACTAGTGCAGGCCCCTCCCCCTGCCCCTCAGGCCCCTGGGCACATGTTCTGAGTGGAGAACGGGGCCATCGTGTCGTATTTCCACCACAGGACTGCACTGGCCTGGCAGGGAAGGCCGAAGGAGGACGCAGCCGTGAGGACAGGGGCACCAGGGAGCTCGTCGTTCCTTGGGGGGAGCCACCACGTCCTGCCCAGCAGGTCGGGGCCACATCTTCCAAGTGGGAACCATTCCTTCTACCACATGTGGACGTGGAGCCCCTGACACTCCTGCAGAGAGGCTCCAAGCCAGCCCGGGCAGCACAGGCTGAGCAGGGGCCCCCTGGGGCCCAGACCCCAAGGGAAGGAGGCTTCAGCACGACCCCTGGGGTACAGACCCCTCCTCAGGCCACACACACGTCCACGCCTGGGCCCAAGGGGCACTGTGGGAAGACCCCAGAGCAGTCATGGGGCACAGGCCCTTGGGCAGGGGGTGAGCCCTTGGGCAGAGGGGCGCAGGAGCCTTCTCTCATGCGACTGTGTGACCTCTTTAAAACCGGTGAGGACTTGGATGACGATCTGTGAACTGAAACTAATGTCATTTGTTACGTGAACCCTTCTTCACTTGACCTCTGCCACTGGAAACAGGGCCCCATGTTGCTTTTCAGTAGCAGGACTGAGGGTGATTTACAGGAACTGCCAAAGACTGACAATAAACGCAGCTATCAAACAGATCACCTCTCGTTGCAGCATCTTTGATTAAAGTGCTTATACCATTTAATTAGATTGTTTACAAATAGGATAACAGGATGGCTACAAAGTGATTTTCTTACTTTAAAAGCAGTTGACACATTGGAAAAACAAGAGAAAGCTAGTGGTTACGAAACAGGCAGTACTCAGTGAACACCAACGTCAGCTCCCCTCAGCCCTTCCTCCCAGACACGCAGCCGAAGGCCCGGGCTGGCCCGCCCTCGGGTACTCACTGCAGGCGGCCTCCGCCCCCACAGAACATGGGCTATACTCTTGCTAAATTCAGAGCGTATCAGGTTTCTAGCAGAGCATCAATTACATGTCAGTGTACTGTCAGTCCCTGGAAAAAAAGACAAAAGCAGAAGGCCCCTAGGCAAGGTGCGCTTGGGACTGCTGGTGTCATCCTGGCCGGGGGGCGCAGGAGTACGATGCAGCGTGGCCCCCGCATCCTCCCCGGGCTGTGAGGAGCCAGGGTGCCCACGGGAAGCTGGTAAACGCTTCTCAGACATCAGCACGCACACACGCTTGGAATTCCCTCCTTGTGTTACTTGCTCTACTGCCCGAAATGGCTTCATGCGTCCCCACCCCCCAGATGCTGGAAGAAGAATGCAGAGAAACTCACCCTTACAGAGGCACTGGGGTTCTACACTAGCTCAACACAACTATGAGACAAGAAAGGGGACACAGAACAGGTGAGCACAAATTGTCACAATGGCGGTGGGTGTTTTGAATACTGGATGGTGTCCAGCGCAGCCCCGATGTCGTAGTTCTTGGTCTGCAGGAGCCTGGTGAGCCAGCCGCCTTCATCGGAGAACCCCATGGACAGCATCTGGGAGAGGGACTCTATCAGCCGGGGGTCAGCTTCTGCCAGAGAGCAATGAGAGCCGTGAGGAGGAGGCCTGGGCCCCCAGTGCGACCTGCACATGGCAGCATCCTGTCCAGCCAGCAAGGACCCAGTGCCTGCAGGGCCTGACCCTTCCATAAGGTCTTAACCTTCAAAAGGACCCTCCACAGCAGGGACCGGCAAGCTTTTGGTGGAAAGGTCAGAGAATAAACACTTCAGGCTGCTGGCAGTCTCTTTTCCACTTGAATATTGTCTTAAACATCATTGCCGTGTAATAGTAATGAACCGAAGCAGCGTGTCAGCTGCTGCTGTTACTCAGTGTGTGTTCTCCAGGCTGCCACACTCTCCACCCGGCCCTACTGCCTTCCACACCACCTGCTTTACACGGCGGCTTCCTGCCTGGCTCCTACGTGGGAGCTTAGCTGTGACCCCGGCTCTAGGTCGGCCCCCTCCCTGAGGACAGCAGGAAGACCCCCGAGTTCCACAGTGTGAGGCAGTGCCAAAGCCAGCACCGCCTCCACGGCACACCTGCCTTTGTGACTCTGGGTCTGGATGTTGTTTTAGAAATTACTAAAATTAGCTGAGCTTACTAGGGCTCCGTGTAGATACAGAGGACAAAACCAACTCATGATTTTCCCTCATGTCAACAGGCAAGCTCTGCAGTAGAGAACGTAACATCCTTCTGTGTTGCTAGAAGCAAATGACAGGATGCTCTGAATGACAGAGGGAGAAATACAAAAGTGCTTGAAATGACTTGCCTGGTGGCAGATGTGGGTACAGTGCGGCTTCCTTCAGCCCTGTGGGTCCTTCCTGGGCAGGGTCCAGAGAGCTTGGCCCCTCAGATTCGGGCATCTGGAGAGACTGGAGTTCACCTGTAGATGGGTCCACCTCTTTCGAAGACAAATGAGTCCAGTCATCGTCTCCTCCTGAGCAGTTATCAGACTCCATCTGCTCCTGGAACAGAAGCCCCGTGAGCACGAGGACATGGACAGCAGCCCCCCGCCCACAGCCTCGGTCCCCGCAGGCGCTGGGCCGTAGAGCACTGGCAAGAGGCTGTACGAGTGTTTTTCTTTACAGAGATCTAGCAGAGGGTTCACAGAGTGACCACGTGCCAGACAGGGGGCCCGCGGGCCGCACAGGTGCCAGGCAGCGGCTGCGGCTGCAGCGCTGGGGGGGCGCAGGGCAGCCCAGCATCAGGGGACGGGGCGGGAGGGTGCTTGCCTCAGGCTGCCCCCCTGACTCCAGGGCAATCTTGTTCATTTGCTCCACCAGAGACTGGGCCGTGCCCTCCGCATCCCCACGCGGTTTGCTGGGGTCAGAAGAGCAGCTGCTTGGCCGAGAGCTGCACTTCTCCTCTGTGCTGGAGCCGCTGGGGGAGGCGGGTGTCAGACGGCTCCGCTTCCCGCCGTGTTCCACGTCAATGTCGACCTCAATGCCTAGAACCCGAGGAGCAAACAAAACCTTGATTAATCTCAGCTAACATCCCAGACCAGCTTCAGAGCCAGAAAGTCCAGAAAGAGACCTTGTTCTCCCCAATGGTGCAGACGGAGCCAGGCCTGCAGGACGGGGTGAGCGCCAAAGACCACGTGTGGCCAGAACCCCCCACCCCCGACCGTGCTGAGGCCCACATGAAGCACGGCCCTCGTGTGCAGGGACCTGGCGATGCGGAAGACACGCACACTGAACACTCCCGTTCTGCTCGTGCAAGGCCCACGAGCCTGGCAGCACAGGGCCGGCGTGTCCACCTCGTCTCACACTCTGGGACTCATGTTCACTGATGGGGAGGGAGGCCACAATCACCCCGGCTGTGTTTCTAATCAATTTTACTTTCTCAAAGGACTAGCATGCCCACAGCTTAGAGTCAAACAATTTCCAAAGGCTCAGAGAAGACCCCCTGCCCCGCAGCACCCACCCCAGCCCACTCCCCAGGGATGGCTTTCAACCCAGGACGCTATTTCTTTGAGTTTATTGTTTAAATTTTCCTCTCTCACCTCCTCCTTCCCCGATCGTTTGAAAAACTCAAATTTTGGTGAAAACAACATTCAGTGTTCATGTTCGTGCAGCTACACAAACACTGCTCCCAGCAGCGGGCCTGTCCCGTGCAGAGCTGTGCTGTTTGTGTGGCGTTAACGACGCCCCCCTCTTTCATTTGCTAACTTTCCCCAACATCTCCAGCAGCTTCTCTAGAATTTTCTACTTGAATTAAGAGTATGGGAGGGGGAGGGGGTGGGAAGGGACAGACTGGGAGTTTGAAATTTGTAGATACTAACAGGCATATGTAGAACACTGCACAGCACAGGGAAATGTATACACGATCTCGTGGGAGCTCACGTTGAAAAATAATGCGGCAATGAATATAAGTATGTTCACATATGGCTGAAAAGTCGTGCTGACAATATTGTATACTGACTATAACTAAATAAAATAAAATAAAAATAAAATAAAAACAAAAAACAGAAAGAAAAAAAAGCATAGGTGAGCCCGGGAGTTCTGGCTTCCCCCGGAGGCCCTCCCTCGGGCTAAGCCTCCAGCCGTGGCCTGGACGGGCGGCTCTCTGGGCCAGAGGCGCAGTTCCGAGGCCTCTCCTTCCATCCTGGCAGCTCCCCTGTCACTCTCGTGGCTTGGGGCCCATCTTTAAGCACCCCTTCTTTCAGTCAGGCCTTACGTCTTCATTTGGCCAGAGAGGGTTCCAGCCCAGGTAAGAGGGCTCAGACCTTGCAACCCTGAACAGCTCTGTCCTTGCTCTCACCCTTGATCGTTTAAGTTGGGTACAGAACTCAAGGTTGAAAAACCATTTTAGAAGAGACTTTTGAAGCCACTGTCTTCAGCTCCCAATGCTGTGCTCTTTGAATTCCCAAGCTTTTATAGCAAACTACAGTTTCAGGAGCATCTCTTCATCCCAAGATAAAGTGTTGACACTTGACAGCATTAAGCTTAGGTGTGGGGTCCTCCTCAGTCATTCTTGGTTCAAGGCATCTGGGGGTCCCTTTCCACCCAGAGGTTAACGCCTAGTGCTAAGAAACTCAACACTCTGCTAACAACTTCCCCCCTTCAGTTTACCCTGTGCTCTTTCTGGAATTCCTTCATCCTATACTGGGCCTCCAGGCTTAATCCTCAAATCCCATCTTTTCTCTCCTCCAGCCTATTTGTTTTGCTTCTAGAAAATCTCCTTGAAATGATCTTAAAATCTACTTTTCTGGGAAATGTTCATGCCTTATTTATCTGATGACTTACCCCCTAAGCCTTCTTTTGAGGTTTTCTTTTTCCTGCTATTTCTTTAAATTCCCAACTATATTTTTATTCTGTCCCCTTCTGTTACCACTTTCATGGTATCCTGTTTTTCATGGATGCAGCTACTTTTCTTTGTCTCACTGAGGATGTGCTAACATTCTCTTCCCTGTCAAGTCCTCCCTCAATTCCCTTCTTTCTCGTGCATAGAGGTTTTCCCAAATGGCTGGTGACCCGTGGCTGTCTGAGCCTAACGCACTACGAAAAAGCTGACAGGAAGCACTCCCTATGGGGCCGGGGCCGTTGTTAGCTTCCCCGTGCAGGTGGCAGGGTGTCTGGCCAGGCACCAGGACCCCAGGGGGCAGAGCCGTCGGGCGTGTCCCTGGTGTAGCCAGCCTCTCTGGCACAGGGCCTCCTGCACAGGTGGTGGGGTGTCCAGCCAGACTCCATGACCCTGGGGGGCAGAGCCGTCGGACGTGTCCCTGGTGTAGCCAGCCTCTCCGGCACAGGGCCTCCTGCACAGGTGGCAGGGTGTCTGGCCAGGCACCGGGACCCCGGGGGGCAGAGCCGTCAGACGCGTCCCTGGTGCAGCCGGCCTCTCCGGCACAGGGCCTCCCCAGCTCCTGCTGGGCTCGCTCTCACTCCTGATGCCCAGTTTCAGGCTGGTGCCTCACCCTGCAGTGTCCCGAGTGTCCCCACCCTGAAGCTCGCCTGGGTCAAGGGCTCCAGCAATTAAACACTGGGTATCCTGCCAAGGTTGGTGAGGCCGGCATCTAGCTGAGTGGGACCCTGGAGTCTCTCCATGATCCTTAACAGGAACCCCTCGTTCCCAGGCCCTCCCTGGTCCCTGCTTCTCAGCAGCATCCCCGTGCAGGTGGGCGGCTTTCTGGTGCCTCCGCTGTCGGTTACTGCCCTCCACCCACTTCCCATCTTCCAAAGTTTGGTGACATCGTTTTATCTTGTCCTCTGTTACTCTGTTCCCTTTTTCTTTATCCATGTTGCTTTATATTTCTTTGTTTAATCCCTTCCCTATTAGCCATTTTCCCCAGCGTTTCATTCTGACAGTCTCAAGCAAACAGAAGAGCTGGACGGACAGCACAGTGAGCACCCACATGTTCTCTCGCTTCTTAAATGAGTGAAAGAAGTGACTCTTGGGTAAACGGAGCAGAGAGATTACTGAACGAGGGTTTCTCCAAATTGATAACCTGAGACTTCAGGGCTTGCAAGGCTGTTCCAGTCTGTGCCCTGCTGCCCCAAATCTCTTGTGTGTTGGGGGGTGGACATTTATCAAAAACCCCATGACAAGGAAGAGCCCTGCTGCTGCACGTCCCCGATATCACTGACTGTGACCTCCAGCCAGGTGCAGCCCTGGGCTTCATGGTGCCATTCAGCTGGCACCTACCTAAAAAAGGCCTTGGGTTTTTAAAGCCACTGACTCACTGCACAGACCACCCCCGTGAGGTGTCACTGGCTCTGTCCACTCTGGGCCCTGCTCTGGGAACTGTCCCTTCTAGGCAGTTAGCAGACTGCCATCCTGTCAGTTTCTCATAAGAAAGGAAAATACCTAGAACTCCAACAACAGAGTTTAGTCCCCCCTCGCATGGCTATCCGAACTCTCCGAAATGGAAGCTACTCAACGGCGTGTTTTACTGAAACGTTCCTTGTTTTGCAGGGTTCCAGGCTCCTCCATAGTTAGCAGAAAGCAACTCCATCCACTTAGAAAGACCCGAAAGGCCTTATTTCTTATCCCAAAAGACCCCTGAGCACTCCCAAGATTATTCCCACGTGTCCTGCGCGGGGAACCCAGGTCAAGTTCTGAAACACTGAACAAGCTCAGCTGGGTCTCGGGATGGGGAGCAAGGGTGATGCGGGTCTCCCGGGGAGCCTTCAGGACACACGGCGCCCAGGCGTCGCCCAGGCCCCGCGCACCAAACCAAGGGGCCTGGAGCTCCCTGCCTGAGCCTAGACTTGTTTTTGTGACTCCCCAGGTTGTCCTGTTCTTTCTTTTAGTAAAGGACTTGGTTCTTCAGGGTAGTTTTAAGTTTCCATAAACCAAAATGTATACCAAAAAAAAAATCCTTTGTTGGGGATTCTGACACTCAGCCAGACTTGAGAACCACTGTCCATTTACTGTCTTCCAAAGAGAAACTTCCCAAGGTCCCTAAGTAACAGCCCATTAGTTGGAATTTCTTAAAATTCTACTCATTATGTCTTCACTATGTCACTATGTCTTGAGTGAGTGGCAGGGTTCAGGGAGAGCCTCTCTCGGTTATACCCTCATCAGTGCCCACTGTTCTTGGAAAGCATGAGATGCAGGAATTCTTCCTCATTCTCTCAAGAGCCATTAGCTCCAGTACAGAAACCATGTATGATCTGAGCTGCGTCATGTATCAGCAGTGCCAGGATGTCACTGCTGCTTCAGAGCTGCTTCAACGAGCGTGAGCAGAAATGGCCGCAGGTTGGAAGTGATGGCGGTCACGTCCTGCGGGTTGGGCACCCTCCTATTGCATTCTTTCAGACACTGACATGGCTTTTGGACAGACCAGGTGACGCTCCCTGCCACTGCAGTCACAAAGATGAGCTCTCCTCTAGTCTGAGATCACGGGTGCACCACAAGGCACCCTCGTCAGCAGACCCCCGCTGCTGTGACACGGCAGGTGCCTTCTAACGTCTCGGCACCCTGGCCTCAGGCCGGCCACCTGCGAAGGTGCACCGCACACCCACCCCGAGACCTACCCTGGGCCTGCACACTGGGAACCCGGCAGCACACTCAGCACTGCCTCCCTCGCTCCCTTCTCCCCAGTGCCCAAGCCTGGCATTCGGGAAGCACCAGGGGAGATTGGGGGTTGCAAAAACGGGAGGAAAAGCAAAATGGCGCCTCAACTAACTACTCACCAAGTCCTTGAGTAAACCCCAAGTCTCACATTAGAGAAATGCAGACTGGTCTTCTCCCAAAAGACAGACAGGCAGAAGATGATGGGCCAGTCTTGCAACTTGCAACCTTCCCTAGTGGATTACCCCAACCAAACGCTGGCTGTCCACTTCACTCCATGCAAAAAGCTCAAGAATTTGTCAGGGAATTCAACCTTGAGTGGCCTATGGAGCAGCACTTGGCAAAGGTTGATCTGAGGCAACAAATCCTTACCAGTCTCGACACTTCAGCTGCCATTCCTCTGCCATCTCCCAGGTGAAAGCCACAGAACAGCTACCCACCCACTGGCTACCAAAATGCTCCTCTGATGTCAAAGGAGGACAAGGCAGCCACTTACCCAGAGGGCTGAGGGCAGCCGCCACACTCTCCCCTACATTCTTGAGGAAATTCACACTGGGATCCTCTGATGGGCCAGAAGCTTTGATTTTAAAAAACAAAAATACAGATAAGTTTAATTCAAAGCACATTTCTCAATAACTGACACCCGCCACGGTCCTGTCACCTTCATCCCGGCAGCCTGCACTCCCAGCACTGCCCTCCCTCCCTCCCCAAGCCACCTCCTGGGCTCCTTTGTCCCTCAAACTGTGTTCCTCCTTCATCTGTCAGCCTAGTGCTCAGGAACCCCGCAGGGCGCTCAGTACACACACAGCATCAAATACTATTTACTCAAAATCGAACAAGAATCCCCATCCTTGTTCTTAAATATGAGGTGAATCAAAGGATGTACTAAGATTAATAAAATCAGAATAAAACCGAAACTTCAGAATACAAGCTGTGTGTAAGTTTTTAACCTGGGGACTGTGTTTTAAAGACTCGAGCAAATTTGACCCTGACTTTCCTGACAGCCGACACAGAAGAGAAGGGAGCACGTGGTAGAGATGCAGGGGCTGGAAGGGCCTCCCTGTCTGCGGTGAAGGCCATCTCAGAATGCCGCGCAGCGTGGCAGGCAGCAGCAGGCACAGCTGCGGCCTTGGGCACTTGGGCACCTCAGTTTTCCCACACATGCAATGGAGACAGTGCTCCACACCTTGCAGGGTTTTGCGACAATTAAATGCTGTGGGTGGCCCTGAACTGCCCGGCCACAGGCATGCAGGAATTCAGGACCTGGGGAAGGTCCTCCAGGTCTGCCGGCCCTCATATCTCACCCTTCAGAGGTCAGCGGACCGACCTCACCTGATTCCGCAGCGGGGCCAGGTCGGGCGTCCCCTGCTCGAGGTGGACGCGGGCTCCAGTTCCCAGGTGGGCCCATCTCCCAGCCAGGCCACCCAAAGTGGCCGTGTTTCAGCTTCCGGAGCCAGCGGCTGTGAGAGAAGCCCTGCAGAGGGGCAAGCAGAGGGGCAGGGCAGCGCCAGGTCAGGAGGGCTCCGGCCACCCAGTGCCCACCCCGGGCCCATGGGGAGGCCCTGCTGACCTCGGAAAGGTGCCCGAAGGGGCTGGGGAAGGCCAGCTTGCTGTGCTCCCTGTGCAGGCCCTTCCCCTCGCAGACGGCACAGAGGTCGTAGTCTGGGCAGACGCTGCACTTGTAGCGGGTCCCCACCACGGGCCCGTTGCAACCATCACAGATCACGTTGGGGTGCACCATGTTGCGGGGCACCTCCTGAGCACACGGAGGGCGGTGGTCCCGCCGGCACTCCTTCTTCTCTGCAGAGAGGGCAATGAGCCGTGAGGCTCCCTTCAGGAGCCACGAAGACTCCTCTGTGGGGCCATCACAGTCAGCAGGCCCCTAACCCCACTCTTCAGACACTGAATCCACTTGGAATTCAGTTGCTCAAGGGACAATAACTGCTAGGAGGTTCCCAGTCCCTGTGCCTGTTACCTGGGCACGTGTGGCCCAGGCAGAAAAGAAGCCATAGGGACAAAGCTAGGTCTGCACAGCTTTGGCCTTGCCCGTGCTCAAACCAACTCCATAGCTGCCCTTAGCCCCTGGGCCCAATCAAGAGTGTGCCCACAGACCCTCCAACCTCTCCCAGGTGAAGGACACAGACTCCTTTCTCAGGCCAAGCACAGCGATGATTACGGCCCTGTCTCAAACAGCCCGCAGCTTCCTCACCCCTCCTTTAGGGGAATTTTTCCAAAACCACAAGCTCGTTTTACTTAGCAGGGAGCACCTGGCTTCAGGCAGCACCCCGGAGAAGCCCCCTTACCTTTAATGTAAATACGGAAGATGTCATCCTTCACGTATGACATTGCCATTGTCAGTTCCTCGTCGCTGGAAAAGGCAACCAAGTCCCCGTCCTCATCTAGATGAAAGAACAGCATGTGAGCAGCCAGGGTGTCTCAGCTGGACACAAACTACCAGCTGCCCTGTCAGAAAGGTGCTGTCTCCATCCACATCCTACCAGACCCAGGCCCACTGTCAACAGAGGGAGATCCCCGTCTGTGACCTGCTCTGGGGCAGTCTGGACCTCTTCTGGCTTTGGAGAGTAAAGTAGAATACTTCTGCCCGCTTCCTTCCCCAACGAAGCTAAAACCATGTATTTGTATGTAGTCTCGTTTTTAGATGTTGCCTCCAATGGTTTAAAGCACCACCATAAGCACAAACCATATATCTACAGGCTGGATCAGGTCTGTGGGCCACCAGACGCAGCACCTACCATAAAAAGAGGCTGCTTTGAAATATGGAAACAACCCAAACATCCATCAACTAATGAATGGCTAAACAAAATGTAGTGTGTCCATAAAACTGAATGTGATTCAGCCACAAAAATGGCATACTACAACATGGGTGAATCTTGAAAGCATTATGATAAAGAAGCCAGTTACAAAAGACTATATATTTTTACATAAAATGTCCAGAATAGGGAAATCCATAGAGAAGGTAGATTAGTGCTAGCTTAGGGCTGGGTGGACGGGATGACGAGGATGAGAGAATAGCTAAAGGGTACGAAGTTTTTTAATAAGGAGGTGAAAAGGTTCCAAAATGATTGTGGTAACGGTTGCAAATCTGTCGATATGCCAAAAATTGGACACTTCAAATGGCTGGATTCTATGGTACCGGAATAGTAGCTGAATAAAGTTGTTACTAAAAAAAAAAAGGAAAGCTGGGGGCCTGGCAAGCCGGCAGCAGTCCTGAGGGAGGTCCCAGCACGGCCCCACCCACTGCCCGCCTCCTTCCCAGTCACAACAACCTCCCCCAACCCCACCCCCAGCAGCCACCAGTCAGGCCAGCGCCACTCTGTCCCTGCATCAACGCTTCTCAAGAACGCTTTCATCTTGCCCCTCTACCCACTGCCAGTGGGATAAGCTCCGGACTCCGCCCGGCCTTGGGCGTCCTGTGGTCAGCCCCCGGCCTCCCCTCCCCGCCGCGGGCCCCGGGCTCCCGGGCCAGGCCGCGCAGCGCCGAGCCCTCCGCACCCCGGCCTGCCAGCCGAGTCACCCTGTCCGCGGCCCGCCCTTCCTCCGCGCCTGCTGGCCCAGGCTCTTCCGGGTTACTATCTGAAGCCCACCTGGCGCCAGCTGACCCACGCTCGGCAGCGGCGAGGTGCCAGTGTAACCCGAGTTCCCCTCTGACCACCCCGTGTCCGCCCCGGCGCGCCCCATCCAAGATCTGCAGCATCACGGCAGGGGGGAGGGGAGG